AATTTGAAGGCGTTAACCGATTAACCCATATGGTTAATCGGTTAACACTGTAAAAACTTTGAAAAATAATCAAATTAAAAGTGTTATACCAATTCCAAATGATTTTAAAACATGTTAATGCATTATGCAAAAATAGTTTACAGTATTGAACACTTGCATATCAATTCAGAGAGAACTTTGATATACCAGCCTTGTATCCAAGTCTCGACAGATGTAGAACAGTTTTTGCATACGAAGCTTGACTTGAAAGATACCCTTGCATAGTCTTGATAACTTTGAAAGGCTTGACTTTTTGCAACTAAGAGATGAGCTTCTTGAGTAGTGTTGACATCATCAAAACTTGAGATTGAAGCATGCTTCTACACCTTCGACTCACAAATAATTTTTGAAAACACTCTGATTTTTGAAAATAGCGATTGAATTTTAATTTGGGTCTATTTACCCCATCTAAACCATTTTTCTACTTCCATATTCACACCCAACAATTGACATCAAGAGTTGATCTTTTGATTGTGTCTAATTAACATCCAAAAGTTTGTGAATATGTCAGAAGATAACGATTTCTTAAGAGAGCGTATAATAGAGCACCCGTTTTCAAAGGAGAAAATTATATTTATTGGAAATGAACTCATAACAACCTTTTGACACGAAGTCAAAGTTGACACTATTTAGTGCTAAGGACTTAAGATATTTTTAAGTCCTAAGACTAACTGATTTGAAGATGAATCCACCTTTGACAGAGGAAAGTAATGCTTTTAGAAATGGTTATGTCTAGTTATCACCATGTTTGGTTGGTTTTCAGTAGATTACTTCCTTGAAGACGCATGGAGACAAGTTGAAACACGGTAGCCTAAGTAGTGGGATACATGTTAGATTGATAGGGTTTAACTGTGGTTGACGATTTTCTTTTTAGTAGTATATAATGCAAGCTTATGCATTATAGTCAAGGTCGTAAATTCTCACCCGTTCTCTTTAGAACCAAAGTACTCGAGTCACAGGCAAAACAGTTTGTGAGACATGTGATTCCGCGTCCACCATTTTAACTTTTTGCAAATATTTTCCTATTTAAATCTTTTATATTGAGTGTTATTTAATTCATTTACTTTATTTTTATTTTATTTCCTTATTCAAAATCTATCTTCTACATTCAATCAGTCGCTATCCAAACATCTAATTCCAAGTCACACGCACTTTTCTCGGTAATTGGTCTTTGCACAAATTGTCTATGAGATGTTTTGAGTAATCTTTTAAGTGAACTAAAATCGTGATTGTTTGAAAAAACACCAATAAACACCATGATTCCTTACATATACAAACTTTGTTTACAAATTTGATATCAGTCTCTCGTTTATCCGCCTTTATAGACTGCACTTTAATTATTTATACTCGTTGTCTCATATAAGGGACCCATACCTTGATGAAGATTGGTGCAACTAAATTCATCAAGGAATAGACTTTCTGATTTTACCTGCTTTACATAATCATGTCATCCCCAATAATGTTCCCCATCTCAATAACCACCTTATACATAATCGTTCCATGTGGCATAATAGACTAGGCCACCCTTCTCATGATACATTGTCCAAATCTAATATTCTATGTGATGCCTGTTTCCATGCTAACAAAAACAACTCCCTTTTCCTGATAGTGTCACTAAAATAATAAAATGCTTTGATATTATCCATATGGATATTTGGGGTCCAATATATACTTCTTCTTTTCTTGGCCAAAAATATTTTTAACAATAATTTATGATTATAGTCAATACTATTGGATTTTTGTCAAGAAAAACAAATTTGAAACCTCCCATTTATTTAAGTCCTTTGTTAAATTCATTCAAACTCAACTTAATGTAACTATTAAGACTATTAAATATGATAATGGACCTTAGTTTCTTTTAAAAACATATTATACTTCTCAAGGTATCCCTTATCAGACCTATTATGTCTTCACACCCAGACAAAATGGGTTGGTTGAAAGAAAGCACTAGTACCTTCTTGGGGGTGACACGTGCCATCCTCTTTCAATCTCATACCTCCAAAAGTTTTTGGTCCTATGCCCTATCTTATGTTGTCCATTTGATCAACAAAATATCTTCCAAATTAACTTCACATAACTGTCCTTTTAACTTGGTTTATAATGGCGATCCTGATTATGCTAGTATCAAAACTTTTGGATGCCTTGTGTATGCTTGTAGTAAAACTATTAATATGACTAAATTAGATTCTAGGTCCAAAAAATGTGTTTTCCTAGGTTTTAAATTTGGCGTTAAAGGCTCCCTTTTATACGATGTCCTCAATAAAAATGTGTCAATTTCTCGTGATATTGTTTATTTTCAACATATATTCCCTTTTGAACAACTTAAACCCTCTCACTCTCCCCTACCCCAACCCATATACCACCCCATTATTGATGATAGCCTAAATTACACCAACCATAACACTCTCACTGCCTCCTCCATTCCTATTGAACTCAAACTAACCACTCTAATTACTAACACTAACTCTAATATTAACCTTGACTCCAACAACCATAACACTCATAATATTACCAAGATTCCAACTGACCCTGCCATTTACACTCGTATTACTACCTCAATAGCTGATAACAACTCCACCACCATCCTTCCTCACCCCTCCCACTCATTCTGACCTACTACCACCAATCAACCTCATAATTTCACCAACACTAGAAAATCAACAAGAAATAGTAAACCTCCCTCATATCTCAAGGACTACCATTGCTCACTCATTTCAGGTAACTCCAACCTGCATACTCTTCCCAATTCAGGTAAAGCCATGTACCCCCTTTCTAAATTCCTTTCTTACGATAACTTATCCCATTCATATAAATTGTTTGACTTAAATATATCTAGTATTAAAGAACCTTTTTCTCACTCTTTTTCCATTCTTGATCCTAATTGGCAATAAGCCATCTCCAATGAACTTATATCTCTCAATGATACCAACACTTGGAATATCACTACTATTCCCAATAACAAAAGAGCAATAGATTGCAAATGGATTTTCAAACTAAAACTTCTCCCTAATGGCACCATTGAGAGATATAAGGCCCGACTTGTTGCTAAAGGTTTCAACCAAACCGAAGGCTTAGACTATTTAGAGACTTTTATTTTTTTCATCAAAATGACTATTATTAGAATTTTGCTATCTATTGCCTCCTCTCTCAAATGGCATGTTCATCAACTAGATATAAATATGATATTCCTTCATGGTGAGCTTGAGGAAGAGGTCTATATGAAATGCCCACCCGGCCTTAACATACCTAAGAATATGGTTTGTAAACTAAATAAATCTATTTATGGGCTTAAGCAAGCGAGTCGTCAATGGAATAAAAAATTAACAAATACTTTGCTCCATATTGAATTCTCACAATCCAAGTCTGATTACTCCTTATTTACTAATAAAAATCACACTGACTTTATTATTATACTTATGTATGTATATGATTTAATTTTTGTAGGAACTAACTTGCAACACATCACTGATATTAAGAAAATTTTGGATCAAAGGTTCAACATCAAAGACCTGAGCTATATCCGTTATTTCCTTGGTTTTGAGATTGCAAGATCCTCAAAGGGAATTACACCACGCCAATGCAAATATTGTTTGGACATGCTGAAATCAACTAGTCTGTTTGGCGCAAAACTAGTGTCCACGCCCATGGACCTTACTCGCAAGCTAGACCAATCACAAGAACCTCTCCTTGCAGACTCGTCATAGTACAAAATTATAATAGGCAAATTCATGTACCTCACACACTCATGCCCTGATATCATTTACTCTGTTTGCAGGTTAAATCAACACATGTTAGCATCAACTCAAACTCAATAACATACAACTTACAAAATAATCAAATACCTCATGAATGCACCATCCATGGGGCTATATTTCAAAACGAAGTCAAAACTCAATCTTACCGGCTTCACAGATTCAGACTGGTGAGCCTGTCCTCTCACAAGAAGATCAACATTTGGTTTCAATTTCTTCCTTGGAGACAATTTGGTTTGCTGGAAATCAAAGAAATAACTCATTATTTCTCGCTCCTCATCTGAAACAGAGTATTGAGCATTGACTAACACATCCTACGAGGCACAATGACTGTTTTTTCTACTTCAAGACTTTAACACCTCTCATCTTTAACCAGTCACTGTTTACTACGACAACCAGAATGCAACCCGCATCACCACTAATCTAATATTCCATGAACGAACGAATCACATAGAAATAAATGACCACTTAGTACAAACCAAGATTCAATAAAGATCATTCATCTCATATCAATAAATTAAGATAACAAGTAGCATACTTGTTCCACCTTATTAAATATACATTCCAGTTTAAGGGGTATTAAAACTTAGTTTTAATATTATTTATATTTTATCATTTAGACCCAATATGCAAATTACTTTACCCAATCCATTATCTTTATGTAGAGACCATATATATAAAGTGCCTTGTACTTTTATCCGTTAATGAAAATAAAAATTTATTTTTTCATTCAATGATTTTCATGTATGGTGCCAAGTGTCAACAGAGTTTTACCTAGCCTTGAACAAGTATCTTAGTGAAAGTCATAAAATATCCATGTCTTATCACATGTTCATGTCTATGTCCCTCATATGTTTCATTAACTCAATTTGCACTCCCCGCAATCACGTCACGCAGCTCCCGACTCTATGGTCACTGATTCAAATCTAATTTAATACAAGTGGCAGTTATGTAAATATAGTCTCATCCAAGCCTAAAAAGTAACAACTCTAGTAATAGTAATAGCAATAGCTCCTTTCGCTTTTGAATTATCCGTTGGTGAAAGTTGAAACTTCGCTTTTCTCAATATTCTCCCTTCTCTTCTCTTCTCTTTTCTTTTCCTTTCTCTTTCCCCTTTCCCTTTTCTTTCTTCTTTATTTCCTTCAAAATTTTCTTACCAACCAAACATTCTCACATTTTCACTTCCATATCACCGGAGCTACCAAAGCAATGGCAACTCCCGGCGCTTCCTTGCCGTTGTTAACCATCGCCGGTCTCAAATTCTACGTCTTAGTCCTCATTTTCCTCGCAATCGTAGTCTCGATTATTCTCATCACCGTTCTCTGCATTCGTCGGAACCGAAGCTCAAAGAAGAGCGAAATGCAAGTGAAAGTCAAGCATAGCTCCGGCACAATTCCGCTTGTTTCTAAGGAGATCGTGGAGGTGATCAAGATCGGAAATGCTATTGATGATGATCCGAAGATGCAGAAGCAAGTGGAATGCGAGATCGAAGAGAGTAGTACTGTGTCGGTGGAGTCTCCCTCGTCTTCGTCGGAGAACATAGGTTGGGGTCGGTGGTATAGTTTGAAGGAATTGGAGAATGCGACCGATCGATTTTCCGAAGGGAAAGTGATCGGAGAAGGAGGTTATGGAGTTGTGTACAGAGGAATTCTTCAAGACGGTTCTGTGGTTGCTGTGAAGAATCTTCTTAACAATAAGTATGTAACAAATCACATTTTCCATTTTCATTCTTCTGTTTAATTTTATTTCTATGCTAATTAGCGGTTAATTAATTAGTTTGCTATGGAGTTAATAATTTGTTTACTGGTTAAATACTAGCAAATACAGTTACTATAATAAGGTGGTTAGGAATAGTTCTTCTATATTTATTTATTTATTTATTTATTTTTACTTCTCTCTCTTTATCTACTTTTACTTTTCTTATATTTAATTAGTAGTATATTTATTTTATTCATGATTTTTATATCTAAACTTTTTCTTTACATGGTAGTATATTAATAGTGTCTTTCCTTAAACAACTTTAGCCTAATTATTATTATCACACACTATGAGTTCTGTTTGCCTAAAATGATGTCGGTGACTATGAACTTGGTATAGGTAGTTCTGCTGGAGAACTAATTATAAATCGCTTAAGAATGAATTTTTTTAATTTAAGAAAAACAAGAATTTCTTACTTTTGATTCTAGTGCAAACAGATAGAATTAGAGTTTGGTCTAACTATTTATTATCTGATTGGGTCTGACCCAATCGTATAAAACTGGTTTGTAGTGGAAAGATTCTCAATTTATAAACATTTGTTCAAATCATATATCGTTTGATGTGAGATTTTTAACACACCTCCTTACGTCTGGGACAAAACATCTAAAGTGTGGATATAAACAATGGGTGGCTTGAATTATCTTTACGTGGGACTTAGTTTTTCAAATACAAACACATAAAAACACATAAAATCTCCATGATAACTTATGAAAAGAACTTAAAGATTTATTATATTAAAAGCTTATGCTATAAGCTCCAAATAATGTGTTTACCTTAACAATATCAAGATATTCTATTTTACCTGGAAATATTGATGACTTTTTGCTCTACTATGATATATTAAAAGTCTATTTATGTACATATTGTTGTATTGTAACTAAGGGGTCAAGCAGAGAAAGAGTTTAAGGTGGAGGTTGAAGCCATTGGAAAAGTGAGGCATAAGAATTTGGTTGGGTTAGTTGGATATTGTGCAGAAGGTGCTCAAAGGTAAACATAATGTTTAAATGACTGTATTTCTTTTGATTTAAGATCTTTCAAATGAGACAATTCATACATATGTTGTCTAATGCGATTTCGCGAACTATTCAGGATGCTTGTTTATGAATATGTTGACAATGGAAATTTAGAGCAATGGCTGCATGGTGATGTAGGACCTGTTAGCCCCTTGACTTGGGATATAAGAATGAAGATTGCAGTTGGCACTGCAAAAGGGTATGTTTATCACCCATGTTATGTGTTTACAATACTTGCCCACTGATATATAGACTATTTTTTATAACAACAATTTCATCCGAGTATCGGTTAACTTTTCTACATTATGAAACAGGCTAGCCTATTTGCATGAAGGCTTAGAACCCAAAGTTGTCCACCGAGACGTAAAATCCAGCAATATTCTTTTGGACAAAAAATGGAATGCTAGAGTATCAGATTTTGGACTCGCCAAGCTCTTAGGGTCTGGCAAAAGCTACGTTACAACCCGTGTAATGGGGACATTTGGGTTAGTTCGATAGTTCTTTCTTTCTTAGACCTTAGTTATTTTGTAATAATCTCTTAACCGTGTATTTAACTAAATTATTTCTTCCCACAAACAACTTTACTGCAGATATGTTTCACCCGAGTATGCAAGCACAGGAATGCTTAACGAGAGCAGTGACGTGTATAGTTTTGGGATTCTACTCATGGAGCTAGTTACAGGAAGAAGTCCCATTGATTATTCTAGACCACCTGCAGAGGTGAATTCATGATTTCTTTATTACGGTATTCCATGATATTGTAACAAGTCTTATCCCTTTATTTGTTTAATGTGCTTCAGATGAACTTGGTTGATTGGTTTAAAGGAATGGTAGCAAGTCGTCGCGGTGATGAACTACTTGATCCTTTGATTGAGATTCAGCCCTCTCCAAGATCTTTGAAGCGTGCTTTACTGGTATGTCTGCGTTGCATAGATTTGGATGCCAATAAGCGACCAAAGATGGGTCAAATTGTTCATATGCTCGAGGCAGATGATTTTCCTTTTCGTTCTGTAAGCATTAAGTTTCAGCCTCTTCATATTATAAGACAGCACATAAGTTATGCGCACATACATATAGTTTTGAAACTAAATGCCATATCCTAATGTTGGTAACTCAATGCCATAAATTTTTGCTGACTCCTAATCCTTGTTGGCAGGATCTTCGAACTAGAGAGAAAGACTCTGTTGCCTCTCAGGCAGACGAATCCAAAAAGGTTCTGTATCCAACAAGGCATGCGGAGCCCGTATATAAAGCGAGCTGGAGATGATTGTCTGTTGAAATGGTCATGGCAGCCGAGGATTACGAATTACTTGTTCTAGTGATGTTCAACTTGTTATGAAAAAAGTCAGAAGCCGTCATTGTTGTGTATATCTTATACCACTTAGTTATTCTTCTTTAGATCTTAACATATTTAGTTGTATTTCAGTATTTTGTGAATAAACAAGCCTTGTAAATATGTAATATCTCTTGCGATATATCAATTTTATCAGTCTTCATAAGATGATACTGCTGCCATATTGCTTATGTTATTTATTCAAAGATTTTATTGTTTGTACTTTATATTTGGGGCTCTCTTCTTTCTCACGCACTATTCCCTCAACTGTGTTGTAAAATATTGTTCTCCGAAGCTTCATATCACAAACACAACAATTATGAATGATAATCGTGAGCAAAGTTGTGAACATCTATAATTGTGAACCATGAACCTAGAGCACAAACATTTGAGAACAATCATGAACATAGATAAGTCTAGTGCCAAGACACATTGTTCTTAAGGAGTTGTTCGCCTAAAACTTAGGTGCTCCTTTTAAACAATGGACAATGATATCGACTAGGATAGCTCGTTTCTAAAATTGAAACTCAATTTAGTTAGTGAAACTAAAATGGTGTATATTTGTTTTTAGTTTAGTGGTTTGAATTTCACCTTTAAGATGAATAAGTGGAATGACAGAGGTTTGAACCTGCATCTCCGCAGTCAAATTCTAATGTTCTTACACAACTATTAAAACGGTGTAAATGTACCCGCATCTCCGCAGTCAGACTCTAATGTTCTTGCACAACTACTAAAACAGTGTAAATGTTTATATTATGTGCAATGTAAGTTCTGGTGTTCGCGAGTTCTGTCTTAATTATCATGAAAGCTACTAATGTGAAAGAAAAATATGAGATATGATTTTTTAACCACGTGAAGGCCACTATTGATAATCTATCATCTCTATCATGGTTTGTATTTGAAATTATGTTTTTCAGGAGGATATATGTTGGACCAAAAAATGAGATATGATTTTTTAACCACGTGAAGGTCACCATCGATAATCTATCATTTCTATCATGGTTTGTATTTAAAATTATATTTTTTAGGGGAATATATGTTGGACCAGAAGTCTGGGACAACTTGTCCAATCAGTTTAAACACAGTATGACAACAACACAAAAACAAAGTAAACACAATAAAAAACACACGAGAATTGTTAAAGTAGTTCGGTGTAACCACACCTATGTCTGGAGGGCTTTTAACCTAAGAAAAGAAATCCGCTCTTCTATGGATTTAGTACAAAGTGTCTTTGATGAACAAACCCCTTTTCTTAATTCTACCATAGTATCTTTTAATTTAGGACTCTCTCTAAATATGAGAATTGTTGGTGATTTTAGTATCATCAATGTATTTTAGTAGTAATGTGATTTACTGTAGGTTGATGCAATTATGCGTTAAGCTTGGAAACGAGTTAGGGTAGTGCGGAGTGCATGCTCGTCGAGCCAACGTATAATTGAATGCGAATAATTGAAAAGGGGTTTCGAGGGGCGAAGCCCCTGGCGGGGTGCGGGGCAGCGCCCCGTTGGGGTTCCAAGGGGTAGAGCCCCTGGCTGGGGTCCCTTTCCCAACCGACTTAACCGTTTTCTGAACAGTTGAACCCTTTCCCAACCGACTTAACAGTTTTTTGAACAGTTGTGTCTTTTCGGTTTCTGTTATTAATCTCCTATATAAGGAGTCATTTGGCCTCAGTTTAAAACAGTTAACAAAACCATACTTTCTCTCTACATTCCTGATCTGTTCTCTATTGCCAAAAGCAGATTGTTCTTCAAGAATTATCCCCACAAAGATTTCGTGAACCCAGGCAATAATAGGATCAAAATACTTTGTTCGGAAAGTGTACGAACACGATTCCTCGAAGTTATCCAGGATTATCATACTCAAATTTCTAACAAGAACCTCCTCTCAGTTTCTCTCAATCACTAACCATAATAATCAACATTAATAAACATAACAATGAATGTTGAATTACAACTCTAATAAACAAACAAACTATTATTCCTTATGATATTGTAAGCAATATCGTGGTGTACAATAAACACATATAAAAGACTAAAATAAACTCTAACACAAATATATTCAATCCTAGCGTACACCCTCAAACGTGAGGAATAAGTCTCCTTAAATAGCAATGCAGTTATGGACTTTTCTCATTTGGATGTTAGCTATGATCTCGTTCATAATAGTAGTAGATATAGTTGGATTTGATTTGTTCCATAAAAACCTCCAACAAGAGATATGATTTATTTTTAATTCTAATTCAAATTTAAATATACATTTACACTGATTTGATCTTCAATAAAAGTTTCAAACAAACCAAAATCACACATTACTAAAAGATAGCAACAAATATGATTGAAATCAAATCGAAAAATTCGCTCCAAACTGCAACAAACTTGGTCTGCTGACAAGGGTCAAATGTTGCACACACACTGGAGCATCTGTTCCCACATCTGTCATTCTTTACAAAACCAGCTTGAACATATTGTTGCTTGTAAAATTATCACATGCAAGTATACATGTATGTTTAAAAGTAGCAAGTGATAGAAAGTAAGGATATCGTACCCACAAGAAGTGAATATTACTAATATTGATTTTGTACTATTTTATCTTTTGATTTTAAGCATGAGAAAAGATAAAAATAATAGATGGATGTCACAAGTTCAATCTTTTATAGTTGTAGTTCCTTATCTCTAAGTGAGCTAATCAAGTGAATATATCTATACTACTCTTTTCAACTACTTTTGTTATCAAATCCACTTGTTGTTGGGTCTCTCACAACAACAAACTGTTATCTTTATCTAAGTTGATCACTCAAAGAATCAGATCTGTTAGCAAGTTAACACATAATAAAACAAGACACTAAATAACACTTCACTTAACAATAAAACATTATAACATTAATTTTCCATTTCTTAGCATACAAAAGGGTTTAACTCATACTGAGTTGAGTACAAACTACATGCATGGTTCTCAAAAGATACATTCTTAAATAGATATTGAAAAAGAAATATAGACCAAGAGTAACTTGAAGACTCTTTTAGAGGGATGTTCAGCCAAGGGTAACTCTAGTCTCACCAAAGCTCAGTAGCTGGTACATGATATGGTGAGAAGAAGAGCTCTCTTTTCTCTCCACTAACCTCACATTGTTATACTTTGTATATTATTCTTGGAATGGTGAAATCTCTTTCTAATCTTCTACAAGGTCTATTTATAATATTCCATTAGGATTTCTTGAGGTGTCTTAGATCATGGGCCAACATTTAGGAAATCACATCAAGCCTAATAATCAATTCAACGCTATCTTTAACATTCTTGCTGCTTAGCCTCCAAGGAATCAGATACAAGGGAACATTTGCGGGTGACAAAGCGTCTTATGACAGATTGCCACAACAGGGTGAATGCTGTGTTGTCCTTTCTAAAAGAGTGTGCAGAGTGGTGGTTGTATCATTGTACTACTTTTGTCTTCTAGCGCCTCTTTGATCTTATCCATAAATTCAAATGAATTTCCGTCAGTACATGCACATTTCCCCTAGTACTCCTTTCCTTTCAAGCTCCCCCCGACTTAGTTGTTTTCTTCACTTAAACTCTTCGGTAAAATCCATCTTCTTACTCCAGCTAGCACTCCTAGGTGTTGTCTAGCACAATCTTGCCTTAGCTCATCAGATACAACCTTAATTCAAGCAACAAAAATATTAAACCAACAAAAGGGAGCACCTATTGCACTTCAGGCTAATTGCTATAAAACAGTTAAAATGATCTCAAAGCAAGCTAATAAAAATTTAAATAAACTAAGAAAGTAAAAGAACTAAGGCCAATAATAACTCACAAAAGGTGGGTGATCACATACCATGTTGTTTTGTGTAATGCAATCTACCCAAAAGGAACAACGATCCCCCCTTTTGAAAAATTTGGCAAAATAACACTTCAAAAAACATACAAGATGTGACTTTGTTGGAGCGGTGAAGCAGCAAGCAAAAATATTAAGTACCCAGTTTTGTCATCTCCACAGGGATCGGTGCGAGGGAAAGAATACCGTTCGACAATCTCAACGTCTCTAAACTTGGGTTTGAATGGTTTGGGATAAAAATGTAAAAGGAAAAATATAAAATAAGAAAATAAAAACATTCTTAAGAAATGAGAAAATTCGTCAGGAGTTGTATTTTATTCCACCCATCATGTACTAAAAAATATATGGATCAAATGCACACAACCTAAATCGCTCGTCAATATCATCACGTATCACTCACAACAGAGGTTAGGTCTAACGCAAAGTCAAGAGATCAACCGTATCGTCTCATTGATGATGTCTCATGCAACTCGACAACACAGAGCATTAAAAATCGATACCCACGTGAATATTAGTCCTAAATCTATGTCTAGAGTTTAGAATCTAACAGATTTTCATCTTAGATCAAGTTCGAATCGTATATGTCTATAGCAATCCAAACCCATTAAGTAAAAAATCAAGATAACCATCGATAAAGAGTTGTAAAATAGATTTTATACAAAGATCCATAAATATACATACAATCAAGATAAACTTACATACAAAACCCCAACAAATAGAGAGTACAAAGAGAAGAGAGAAGAAGAACACAAATCTCACGATCTGTTAACTCCGATTGAATTGAATTCGACTCCGGATCGTCAAGATGCACACTCTAATTTGTTTCTAAGCTAAATCTACTCAAGAATGTTTTTGATGAAGTTGGGGTAAAAAGTTCCCAACAGCATAACCTAAAAAATGCTGAAAAATCACTTAAATAGGCAAAAATGAGTCTGTGTTTGCACTGCGAACTCCCGTTTGCCCAGCAAACATATGCCACCTTAGCTACTGCCAAAACAGTATTTTCCATGCTTCTGGGAAATTTTTATTCGCCTCGAGTTCCCAGTGCGAACTCTTGGCGAGTTCGCTCGCCTCCAGTTTGCACAACGAACATGACAGTAGACCA